GATATAGGGTGTTGATGTCATTAGACCACACCCCTTCTCATTACAGAGATGCACATCACCTAATATGCTTAATTGGTAGTAGGCTTTCAAGCCTATACAGCTTGGAGTAAGACAACATGCATGAAGAGGATGATGTGGACAAAATACTCATTTGCCTAATAATTCTGCACTCCCTGTATTTATCATAAATGAATATGTGACAAAACTGCCAGTGTGAAGATACAAAAATCATTCTAATCTTCTTCTTTTTTTCAGTAAATATGTGTTCCATCCACTTGCCCTGTCCTAGAACAGATTGTATTTAGATAGATAGATAGATAGATAGATAGATAAAAATCTCTTTTATGTTATTTTAGGTTTCCCGAGGCCTTAGCAACTGGAGTCATTGGATAAAAATTACACCATGAGATTTACAGATTTACAGAGTACACAGCTCTCTGTAAATGTCATACTGGGGTTGAAGTCATGATACACATTTAATACGCTATGAAATTTAATTGTTACCTTAATATTATTCTAATAAAGACAGATTTTTTTTCAGTTTTCTGGAAACTCAATAAACCCCACAAGTGTGTGTAGACAGAATGCAAAAGCTGTTCTCCAGTCGGACTTTAGATAAAGGACTTCTCCATCATAAGGATTAGTGACATCTGACTTTTAATAATTATCAAATTACACACATTGTGTCCTTTAAACGTCCCCGGGTAGGCCGACTCTTGACTTCAGAAACATGGCGCACGAGTTGAACTTTAACCTCGGAAATTTATTCGGCCTCGTTTATCTGTTCGACCAACTGTAAATCCATCACTCAAGATTCTCGCGATAATTGCCCCGCATATATTAAGACACATGGGGGTGCCTCGTCCACTTGGAGAAGCGTAGGGTTTCCTTGAGGATCTTGGCCACTTTTGGAAAAGTCAGAAGTCTCGGATCTCCACAAGAAACAACCAATCATGTCGGACGCGGTGACTAGTTTTATGAAAGACTTTTTGGCCGGTGGCATCGCCGCTGCCATCTCCAAAACAGCTGTCGCTCCCATTGAGAGAGTCAAGCTGTTGCTGCAGGTAAAATGACTGAACCAACTGCTGCCTCTGGCACGGTCGCATGTCTGCGTAAAGCGTGCGTAATTGTGGGGCTTCTGCGATAACTCAAACACAAAATGCAACACAAGAATTGTTTTTCAAGAAAGAAATGGCCCTTTGGACTCATTTGGTCTCGTGCGTAATGCCAGTGGGCACGTGAGAGGTCATGGATTGATGTGGAAATAGTTTTACGCGCCAAGTTACGCAGAATTCTTCTGGTGACAGTAAGGGTGGCAAGCCCTCCTAATAAGCGTTGCAGAAAAACGACCATAAGTAGCTAGTTCATCATGCTGTTTGTGCTTTTATTAAGTTAATTAATCCTTTATTATTATTACAGATGACCGCTGCAATAGTCAGTGAAAGTGGACTGCTAAATTTAACTTGAAGTGTGTAATCTAATACACAGTGAGGTCTCAAGTGACAGGAGTGTGCCTCTGCTGGGCCTACAACTACATGATGTCTGTCCGGAGAATATTAAACATAGTAGTCTAAGATTATGTAAATACCAAAATGATGTATTTAAAATTAAAATTTTGCTCAAATATTGCATACTATTTAGAAAAATGGTCCCTGTCGTGTCAAGGTTTACATTTACATGGAACTATGGCACACGTGTGTCCAATACAGAACTTTTATGCTTTGTTTGCAGGTCCAGCATGCCAGCAAGCAGATCACAGCAGAAACACAGTACAAGGGAATCATTGACTGTGTGGTTAGAATCCCCAAGGAACAGGGCTTCATTTCTTTCTGGAGAGGCAACCTGGCCAATGTCATCCGTTACTTCCCAACCCAAGCCCTCAACTTCGCCTTCAAAGACAAGTACAAGAAGATCTTCCTCGGTGGCGTGGATCAAAAAAAACAATTCTGGCGTTACTTCGCTGGCAACCTGGCATCTGGTGGTGCCGCTGGTGCGACTTCGCTCTGTTTCGTGTATCCTCTCGACTTCGCCAGAACGAGGCTGGCTGCAGACATCGGCAAGGGCACAGCAGAGAGAGAGTTCACTGGTCTTGGAAACTGTATTGCCAAGATCTTCAAAACCGATGGGCTCAAGGGTCTTTACCTCGGATTCAACGTGTCAGTGCAGGGTATTATTATCTACAGAGCGGCCTACTTTGGATGCTTCGACACGGCTAAAGGTGCGCACAGCTGTTACACTAGAATGTATTAACAGTGTACATGTGCATTTTACACGTGGGTGACTTAACTTGTGCTTCTTATAGGTATGCTGCCAGATCCCAAGAACACGCACATCATCGTCAGCTGGATGATCGCCCAAACCGTCACTGCTGTAGCTGGTCTCATCTCATACCCCTTCGATACAGTCAGACGTCGTATGATGATGCAGTCTGGACGCAAAGGAGGTGAAACCATGTTCGATTCGTTTGGCCCAGTTATTGCACAGTTATTAAGCATTCATGTGAGGGCATTATGCAACATTATTCATGTCTGTTGTCTTCTTCTCTTTTTATTTCCAAAGCTGACATCATGTACAAGGGCACAATCGACTGCTGGAAGAAAATCATCAAGGACGAGGGACCAAAAGCCTTCTTCAAAGGTGCCTGGTCTAACGTGATCAGAGGCATGGGTGGTGCCTTTGTGCTGGTGCTTTACGATGAGTTCAAGAAGTTTGCATACTAAACTTTCAACCAATCCCTAAGGAAACCCTTTACTTTGTTTAAGTCTTATTTCTGGTGATACAGTGATAACAGCTTGGTGAATTTACAGTGTGGGCGTCTACAGTATGACAGCCCAGGTAAGGAGGGTGGGTGAACCAAAAGTGTATATATCCCATCTAGGACATGCCAACAGGCAGTCGTTCAGTAAAAGTCAAGCAGGTGGAGATTTTGTGATGACGCACATGATGATGTCACTACAGGTCATGCTTCCCATGTTAGTAAGTTTGTGAAGCAAGTTGAGGAGACCCATGTGTTATGCTGTGACCACTCTGATCCTCATAAATTATTTTATTAAGAATAAAAACGTATTATTCTAACAGTCCAGTCTTTTTGATGAATGCACTGTTGTCACAGTCTTGTTGGTTTTCATATTAGATTTTCTGTTTAACTCCCCACATGGACACCAAGCCAACATACACAATGCTTCAGAAGTGAAGCAGCAAAGTGCGACTTTTCAATGTATTATTTACACCCATTTTTTTCTGCTGTCCCATCGATTGTCTTCCATGATAAAAGCTAATAAATGCATCTTCCAGCAAGAATGATTTGAACAAAACTTGCATCTTTAAAGATGCAAAACAGTACACTGTTAATTGGTGGGAAAACAGCTTTAGTTAACAGGAAACAGAATAAATATAAACAAGTAAACCTTTAAATAACTTAAAAACACAATTTTTTGTGTATCCCATTTAATCAAGCAATGTTAAAAAAAAAGGTTACATTTATAGGAACTGAAATTCAGTCATAATAAACAATAATTTGTACATTTATACCTTCAACAAAACAATATCTTCTGCTTGTGCAGCTAACTTCGGTACTGCGACACTGCTGTGGAAGTCACACATACCATATTTCAGATTCAAAGAAAATGTTTATAATGGATAAGCATGGTTACACGAAAATCACTGAAGAGTTGATTAAGCCAGATGAAAGTATGCTGAACACATTTATGTGACAAGAACCTTTGAGCTTTGTTCCTTTTTTAATATTTTGTGATGCAAAGATATCAACTGAATATGGATAACAGAAACCAGATTTTAGCAGATTAAATGTTAAACAGCGCTCTTAGCACCATGCTGCCCGCGCTGCACCTGTTTTTTTTGACCTGGGTGAAGGTCTGCTGCTGGAGTCAGTGGAGGGGAGTGATGCCCTGGAGTTGACTGACCTGGGACCTGCTGAGTGGATAACAGAAACATGCTCTCTGATTACAGGCTTATCATTACAGTTTAATCATAAAATAGCACAACTTTAAAAACCATTATTACACTGCTAAGAAAATATGTACATATTTGAAATTTTATTTAAAAACAATCAGGCAAACACATACACACGTGTTTTATGACAGTTGGAATCTGTTATTGGTTAATTATTTCAAATGTTATTTTAACACCAGGAAGCAACAATGAAACACAAACATTAAAAAGACAAAAAGGTGTTAAGAGGAGAAACAGTTTGTCAGTTACTGAGCCATGAAATTCATTTCATAGCAGTGTTAAGAGCTGCTTCTTACAGTCTTCTCGTTCTCTTTAATCCAGTCTTTGCAACCATCTGGAGATAAATTTGCAGCCGTCAGTTTGACATGAGTGCGTACCACATGCTAATGCCTTTTTCTACCTTAATTAATGCAACACAAGCAAATAACAGCAGGCTTCTCCAAATGTCTCCCCACACACACTCCTGCAGGTGGTGTGCTCGTTGAACAAAAACACTGAGGTCTGCATGCAAAGGTTTTTTATTTATTATTAATATTCTGCAGCTGTGCTTTAATTGCAGTATGACAAACTGTAACTGGAGGAGCATATAGCATGTACTAGAAGGTACATATCTGTTATCTAAACCAAAGTACTTAAAATTAAAATTGTTGGAAAACAACCAAAGATGTAAGACACCAACCGGAGGTAGTCCTGCTGCTAGATCGATCTTTCTTTGTGGTGGACCTGCAGATGGGAAATGAAGAACCTCCCAGGTATCCGGCTTGGCGCTGATAGTCTGCCAGTTGCTCTGAGCGCCTCAGGCCAGGTGTGGGCTTCACAGACTCCAGCCTCTTCAGGAAAGCCTGAGAGGAATAGAAAGATTCTTACCTCATTAATACTCCAAAAATACTGTAAAAGTAAACTGTTCCCCCACCACTGTGGGAGGTAACTACATTTCAAACTCAAATTTTGGTACTGGACCTAAGGTACTGACAGAAAAAAATACACACAGTTTGTAATATTGTATGTGATATAGACCAATGATGCCAAATATACGTCCCATCAGGCCCACTGATGTTTAGTGTAATCAACTTGTGAAGGTTTTTGTTTGTTTTTTGTTGTTGTTTTTTTAAACATTAAGTCAGTGAGATTGTTTCTTTGAAGTGCTTAACAAAAGTATTAGACCACCACCCAATGTTAGGGTTATGCCAAAGCTGCCTGAAATTAACTACTGAATTGGCAAAAATAATTTTTTTATGTTTAGATAATGGTTAAATCAACATCAAGCTGGTGTGCAAGCTCTTTAATTAAAATAACATTTTTAAGTCTAAAATATAATAATTATTTTTCATGAACTTTTAAATTTACCATTTTACAAAAAAAGCTGAAACAAATAGTAAAGTACATGATTATTTTTTCATTAACAAGCTAAATTACCATTTGTTTGGGGTTTTTTTTGCAATACTCAGCAGAAAAAGTTGAATATTAGGCTTGATTCATTTCAGACTTCTTTGAGAAGTCTAGTCTGCTGTTTCTGTATTAAACATTAATTCAGTGAATTGAGCAATTTTAAGTTTTAAACAGGTTTTCGACAGATTTCTAAAATATTTGTGTTCTTTGTTTTTAGGTGGTCAAACAGTTTAAGTGCTGTATGTCCACTTTAGATGAAACCGGGGTGGCACTCTTGAGCTAAACTACGCAGCACAGTTACAGTAAATATAGATAAAACAACCTGAAATGAACACCATGCAAAAGAAATATATGGTAAGAGTTAATTTTTTTAAATATTTTTTTAAATATTACTTTTTTATTATTTGATTTGACTGGTTTGATTATATTCATTCTTGCTCTTGGCTAGAATGAATACATAAAAAAACAGCACATACACTAAAATGTATTTTAAAACAATCTACCTCTTACAAATAAGTCACTATTTTATTAAATAAGTCAAACTTACCAGTCAACAATTTACCAACTGCTGTGCACCAGGACTTTGCGAAAGGTACACAGCAACCCCAACAAAACAGCATGAGGCAAATCAGTGTCACGCATGCACTCCCACGCAGGGTCTGCTGTAATCTCTCAGTGAACAAAAGCTCCATATGAAGCAGTGTGATGAGGAAAAAGCTCAAGCATCACCAGACCTTCGTGCTGAAGATCAAAAGTCTTCCAGAGGGCATGAAAAGGCACTGCAGGCTTCTAAATACAGCCAGAATTACCACCTACTATATTTTTAATGTTTGCATTACAGGAGACATCTTCAATGAAAATGTACCCATTGTATTATCATTATTATTATTATTGTTATTATTAGTGTATATAATTTTTTTGAAAGAATACTATGTGTAGAGGGTAAACTAGCACTTGAAATACACAGAAGTGGTACTACTTGTGGTTGCCAGAGGTGTCTTACATGTGTGATGTGTGGGGTGTATACACTGATCACACGGGCAGATTCAATTACTAATCTCTAAGAATAGAGAAGGCGAAAAGCACTCCTGACGCAGAGAGATGGGCTCAAGAGAGAGGACAGTCTGTTCTTAAAACCATAGAAACATTCTGGCTTATAGCAGCAACATTAGGGATCAATTTAAAATATCTAATCATTATTACAGGAACACATGAGTAGAAAAGAAGTCAGGTTTTCACTTAGTAACACCAGTGCCTTGGCTGGCTACCAATAATTAATATGTCTTTACTTCCCCATCTCCTCTTTTGAAACTGTGCTGCATGTAGACATAAAAAATGTTGCCAAGATAAGTCAATATATGGGATGAGAGACTAAAGCTGCAGAGACTGAACTCTGTCAAATGTCAGTCTGCGGCACTGCTGCTGGCTGCCACCTGCTGCCATCTGTCCAAGTCTTTCCATGTACGTTTGCAGAGGTGGCACTCTTGGACTGACGCTAAACTCAAATCAAAACATCTCTATTCTTTATTCTCTCTATTCTGTTTCTACTTAAAGTATTTATGAGGAAACTTCTTTTTTTTTTTCATAAAATGTTTTCTTTATGTTTCTTCAATAGTTTACTAAAGGCAACGTAAAAAACATAAAAAAAAGAGTAAATAATTAAAAAGTAGGATGCAATACAGTAACATGTAGACTGGTTTTCAAGGAAATTACCAACTTGAGTAACAAGTCTAGTGGGAAAAGTCAACTTCTATAGTTACATGTTGTATTTACAGTCTCTTTAAGAATTTAAAATACAGTAAGAAAAGATTGTTTTTAGAACAGGAACCCAAAAAGACTTATTTAGACGTCCCCTAACAAAAAATAATGCCACTCTGACCCTATCTAGCAAACTAAAAGTCATTTTTATTCTATTAATTTCACACCTATAGACGTTTAGATCCAACAAGAAAAGAAATATAATTATTACATTTGAATTATGAAACCTCAAAACCAGTCCTTAGGTTTCTGTTTGGGACTTTTCTGACTTACATCTTAACTTTTGAGTGATTTACATATTATTAACCTACATGATCTCTCGCAGAGTGACAAGCCTGTTCACAGCAACATTAAATCTCTCTGCTCTTTTTGATATCCACTCATGTTAATAATTATCTTTCTTAGTTTTGAGAACTTCTGTTAGGGGTGTTGTTCTTTACAGTCTTTCTCCTCAAAACCATATTGAAGAAAGTTGCTTTCAACCATAAGCATTTTGAGATATTTGAAAAACTAGATAAGAAAATACATTTTCTTATCTTTTCTAAAAATTTGTTGAAGAAAAACAAACATGAAAGCAATATAACAATGCTATTATAGCAGCTAATGCTGCTGTGCAATTGAAAGTCAATTCAAAAATATGTTACACTAGCAAAAGTTGATTGAGAGGGAAGAACAGTTAGATGTACCCCGCCTCTCGCCCTATGACAGCTGGGATAGGCCCCAGTGCCCCCGCGACCCTGAAAAGGATAAGCGGAAGAGAATGGATGGATGGATAAATATATTTATATGATTGAAAACTGGAATTTCTTTCTACAGATTATAAGTATACTGCAAGGACACAGGAGTAATTTTTTCCCCAACATTACATACTAGAATTAGTTGGGGGGGAATCATCCAATTCAATACATTAGTGGGTGAAGAGTTGTCGCCTGGTGAAACTCTTCTGTTGTTTGCAAAAGACAAAGAAACACAAAAGCAAATTAATTTCTTACTCAGTTTATCACAAATGTTTCTCTTGCTATTAAGACCGCCTATTATCAAAACAATTAAGCAAATCAAGGATTGAGTTTTGACCCAAGAAGTGAAACTTACCAGGTTCTCCCGCTCAATCCGTTGCTGTTCTCGTTGCCTGTTCACTGCACTGTGAGTGAGGCGAATTCGAGGAGAGTTACTTGCCCCGTGGCTTTTCTTCACTGGTGCGCTTCCCGATCTGGGACCCGGAGAGAGGCGAGACAGCTCGCGAAGTAGTCGCTGATTCTCTAAATCAATGCGCCGAACCTCTTCATTGCTGAAGGAGTAGTTTTTCCTGTTTCTCCCTCCAGGATAGTGGAAGACCAGTTTTCTTCCAAGCTGACTTTCTAAATTGAGAGAGCCTGAAAGGAAAAACAAACAGTTGTATCATAATTTGAGTTTCACATTTTGTGCTAGTGGTGGAAAATGTTCTGTTGTACTGATGCTCAGGTCAAACATCAGTACATCAGAACATCCTCTGCAAACAGCTAAAAACGCATCTTTTTCCAACTTGTTTTTGAGTCTTTGTTTTTTAGGTTTTAGCATTTTTGTTGTGAATTTCTCTGTATAAATAAAATTGTACTTACTTCTGCTGCTTATATAAGTTTGGGTTCTTTGATATGAAAAACTGAATTTTTGAAGAGCCATATTCTTGAGCTACATTTCTGCAACCTCCATCATGTACATTTTGAAAAGTCACAAATAAGTGAAGTGGAATCTTTTTGTGCACTTTATTTCTTCATCAGTGTTCAAAAGAGCTTGCTCTGCAATGTTAACCACACTCTGTGCAAACCCCTTCTGAGCTACATTTTGAAAAACAGCAGTATGTTGAAACTAAAAGAGAAAACCTTGAAAAAGATTTTTATGTGAAGCAGAATTCAACTAAAACTCACAAATCTTTGTGTGGACAACTGTTTTCATACACGTTACAATTACTTTGGGGAAAAAGCTGATTTACTGAACTCACGGAGGAGAAATAAACTTCTGTTTTAGAGAGAGAGAGAAGCTCATATAAAGCTTACACTACACTTACCAGCTAAAATCTTTAATGAAATGCATGTTGATGCAACAGTTCCTATTTTTCAGGTTTGGGACTGAAGTGTTTTTTTATACTTAGACTGCAATTTTAAGTGTAACAAATTTTTTTATGTCATTTTCACCACATCAATGGACCTTTTTCATAGCCGCTATTCTGAAATGTGTTTGTAGGTTAATTATGGCCTTGTCCCTAGTAATGCATGCTGTCTCACTGGAATGAGTGTGGCGTAATAAAGGAAATGTTCCCATAATACCTTTAACCAATTAAACATCTATTTACACTTCTACGACATGTCAAAATGACTGCTGTGAAAAGAGGCCTAGGGCATAACTCCATGTGGGCTTAGAAATACAACTATTATAACGTAAAGCTCAACCATACTCACACTCATCCACATCCTGATCTGAGTCATCATCTTGTATGTTTCTAAGACCACTGGAGGGCACACTCTGCTGCGGCTGCTCCTCTTTATGACTTTCTTCTTCGACCTCTGTGACATTCAAGTCCAGTGACTGAAGAGGACTGGTGTCAGGTGAGGAGAGTGGGGTCACATCTGTCACTGAATCATCTGAGTCTGCCGTATGGAGAACAGGAAAATCACGAGGCCTTGCTGAGCCTACTCTGGTCCTTCTTATTCCTGGACATGAAGAAGAAGTTGCACTTGTTTTCGGGAGGGCAGGGGACTCTAAGCTGCTCTGGTGACTGCTACTGCTATAGGAGCCCTCAGAGTCTGCATCTGTGCTGGTCTCAGTCGATGAAAGAGAAGGACTCTCAGACCTGCTTGGAGGAGCTGAAGGACTTTGGTTGTGCAAATTTCTTATTACTTTTTTAGGAGATTGTTTATTTCTCCTTTTAGAGCTGGCACTGAATGGTAATGCTTCTCCTTTGGTCTCTTTTGGACTCTGAATGTAAACATCTGTATTATCTACCTCTTTGGCTTCAGCCAGTAAAGCCATGAATGTTCTACTGGACCTTTTAGGTTCTAAATTGGCGCAATCTTCACTATCACTGCTTTCATTGCTGATTTTATCCGATGTAGTGGAAACGGATGATCTACTGCTCCTATTATAGGTCTCCGCTTGCTTTAGATGTTTTCTTGTCTGATCACTCCTTGATGACAGATCGCCACGATAATTCTCTCTGTGTTTTGCATGTAACTTATCATGTGCTTTTGAGATCTTCTTCTCAGCCTTCAAACCTTTCTTCACCTTATGTTCTGCATCTGTGCTGCTTTCAGCACAATCGCTGTCGAAAAACGAGTGATCCACTTCACCTTCCAGTTCACTGGGGTTGAACATGGCAATTTCCCCTCTGCACACCTGTAAGGATGTAATGTGAGATACCTAAATAGTAATTTTTTAACCCATTTATTTAACATAACAGCTAACAACTTAGCAAAACCTGCTAGAGTGACTGCTTTCAAAGACTGAAATGATTGGCCAGGTGTCCCTTTTTATGTTGGGTTGCACAGCATTTTTATCCTTTGTCCACTGTCCCACATATTGAGACAATGTTCCACATTTTATGTGGTTCTAGCTTACAAACATCCTCACAAGAAACATGGTTTAAACAGACATGTGCAAACAAGGATCCATACTGAAATACAAAATAAAGGTTAAGAATTTTAAAGGTTTTTTGCAATATAAAACAGGTAACACTGCATAAATCCATGAAAACAAGAACAAGAACAATAGGACAGTCCAGTGAACTCAGTGAAAACACACGATGGAGAAATGTTGATATGCACAAGTTACAGAACTTGAATGCATTTCTAAAGAACTGAAGATCATCACTTCAAACTGCTGTATGACCATCAAGTGAAAGGAAATTGTGTGAGGATGTTCATTATCAACCTAGGAAACAGCAAGGCTTGAGCCTGCCATGAACTGGAAACTGTTCGATCACCAGTGCCACTGTCTACAGTGAAGAGAGTTTTACATGACCATGTACCAAATTTCCCCTTTTGGGACAATTAAAGGATTATTAGAGGGCACCAATGAAAAAAAGACGCCCCTGTTACAACATCAAAACCTTCAAGTTCAACTATTATTTGCAGCTGCCCACAGGAATAAAATAAATGCCTTCTGGAGAAAAATTTTATGGTCAGATGAGACCAACACTGAGCTAGCTGGCTACAAGGACAAGAGGAATGTTTGGTAGCATGAAGGTGAGGCTTTCAAACTGTAGTATCTGTCAAGTACTGTGGTGTTAGCATGATGCTCCGAGGCTGTTGTGCTGCCAGTAGTACTGGCACACTACACAAAGTGGATGGAATACTAAAGACAGAGGACTACACACCCAGAATTATGCCAGAAAGTTGCTGATGACTACCAAAGATGTGTGCTCCAGGCGCAACTTGCTAGGGGACAATTAACCAAATATTAGTAGGGGTGCATGTATACACTTGAGACTACATGTATACTTTTGACGATGTGTGGATTAGAGAATCCAAATTAAATTCAAACTTATGGACCCAATACTAAAGTAATTAAAGATGTAGCTGTACAATCATTCTACCCTGGAAAAAGAACAGTCCACAAAAATTAATTAAAAGCCCCAAATTACCAAGATATTCAGGCCAGTGATGTGTATGTAATCCTTTGTGTCAGATACAGTAACGGTCAGTCAATAAAAGACATCTGCATAGTTTGTGCGTGTGTGTGTGTGTGTTTTTGTTGAGGTTAGATAATACATGTTATACTATCGTGTAGCTTTAGCAAGCTTTGTCACATATAAATAAAATCTTTGCCCCACATTTCGCTTGTTGGTCCCCCTAGAGTGGCCTCTTCAACACTTTTCCTCAGTGCAAAGACCGGGTTTCATTTAGCTTAAAGTGGCATAACAGCAAACTGTTGTGTAATCTATCCATCAGTGTGTAGCAAGCTCCAAAACACTAACACTATTGGTTATCTGTTTACCTACACTTTCAATCTCCATTACTACAATAATATAAAATGCGGTGGGTATAATGCTTTCACATGTGTTTTAACCCATAAACAACACACGTTAAGCCTGGCAGTTAACTAACGTTAATAGTAACATAGCTAACTTATCCAATTCGTTTAGTTTAGCTAACTTAAGCTCCAAGAATATCTTAGTTCTCTTACCCAACGAAAGAAGGCACGACACACCGTTTTCACGTTAGAATTAAGTTTCTTCTTAAGAAAGAATGTCAGGAATCAGAATAAATACAGAGCAAACCTGCAATAAAAACAAATTTAGCGTTAGCAGGCTAAAGCTGGAGTAACACGGTGCCTGGTAACTACGCAACGTCACTTCCTGGCAACGGTCGCCCTAGGAGATCTCTGCAGTAATTAAGAGAAGCAGTCGACTCCAGCATTTTATCGTTATGAGGGTTATCAGAGTTTGATTATTTCATAAAAACAATAACAGCGAAAATTCAGCCGCTGATTTGCTAAATCCGATTATTTCAGTCAAAGTAAGTTAAACTGATCAAAAGTAAATTTATTTTTTGGTACTGAATCTAACAATAACTATGTGTTATATTTGAAGGTATTTGGGATAAAATTCAGTTAACATACAGTTTACAAAATGGTTTCTTATTGAGTAATATTAGGTAAACTTAATTTATATTGTATTATTTCTTTCTCATGATTTTGAGTGATAGAAAACATGCGCATTAACAAGACAAAACTGATGCAACTGATACACTGGGACAACAGAGTATATGACATATAATATACTTGAATTTGAATCACCTTTATTCCGATTTCTATCCTTTATTTATCGTTTGTTACTCTTCCTGCCCCTTGTATTTGTTTATGCGTGTCTACTTACTAAAATATGACTTAATACAATGATGTCTCTTCATGTTTTATATTTTTCACCTTTTTTTCTTGAGGTTATAAGTTTTGTTCTTTATAGACAATAAAAATTACTTTACTTCCTGCAATCTGGCCACTCAACTTACTGTCTGTTTTATGCAGAAAACAAACAAAAAGAGAGTTGCCCTGTGTTGTGTGTTTTTATCTTTGTGCACAAATTTCTAACCTACTTAAGAAACATGTCAAGAGACAGATACTGGAGACAAACAGATGGGAGGTCATTAAGTTTCTCCTGGGGATCCATTATACGACAGTAACTGCTCCCCCTAGTGCATCTCCATTACCAAGAAGAGGATTATCTGGAGGCGCGTCCCCTGAAATCACAATTTGTCATGGTTTTACTCTTAATAACATAATTAGACCAAGAAGTGACACACACTAATGAAATGCCGATGTCCTGGGACAATAGCACTCGGGGGGATCTGTTGTATAAACCTGTGACTGGTCACTGTCATATAATTTACATGCCAATGCAGGATGGGTAGAAATGAGGATTGAATAGGGGGGGGGTTCTTTATTTGTCCCATACTCAGACAATGAAGGCATAAGTAACTGCAAATTTAGTATGAAAAAGATGAAAAAAGTTAATAAATCTCTGTTTTCTTTGAAAGAAAACCATCCATTTGACTGTGACACCTGGCTAATATTGGAACTTCAGTTACGAAGAAGGACCATTTTCCACAAATAACTTTTTCATTAACCATTTTTTTTTAAACACGAATACCTGCATATCCTACAAACTGAGGGTTAGTTTCAGTGAAATGTATTTTATTCATTAAAAACAGAGTTAATTTCTTTCTGTTTCAACTGTAACTTGTTTCCAAATGAATACAGAATACATATTTGTACAATGTGATGTAAGGTTTGTTCTTTAGTCGTCTTATGTAGGACTACACCAACTAATTATTTATCATATAAATAGTAATATTGTAGCACAGATTCAACAAGGTGCTGGCAACATTCCTGAGAGATTTTGGTTCATATCCTGGAAGTATTGATCAGAAGATTACACTGAGGTCATAAAAGGATGGACATGGTCAGCAGCAATGCTCCCCACACCATTACACCACCATCAGCCTGAACTATTGACATAAGGCAGAATGGAGCCATGATTTCATGCTATTTACACCAAATTCTGACCCTACCATCCAGATGTTGCAGCAGACATCAAACTCTTCAAACTTATTTTTTCCAATTTTGGTGAGCCTGCACGAATTGTAGTTTCCTGCTCTTAATTGACAAAAGTGGCACCCAGTGTGGTCTTCTGCTGCTGCAATCCACCTGTTTCAAAGTTCAACACATACAAGATGCTCTTCTGCATATCTTGGTTGTCAACTTAAAGCCGTTTGATCATTCTCTTCTGGCATCAGCAACATACTTTCACTCTGAGAACTGCCACTGACTGGATAATTTCTCTTTTTCAGACCGTTCTCTGTACTTGTCTGGCACTAACAATCATGGCATAAAACCACTTTAATCCCCTTTCCTCCCCATGCTGATGCTCAGTTTGAACTTAAACAGGTCGTCCTGTCCATGTCTACTTGCCAAAATACATTGAGTTGTTGCTATGCAACTTGCTGATTAGATATTTGTATTAACAAGTGGTTAAACAGGTATACCTAATAAAGTGACCAATGAGTGTTTTGCCCGTTATGGCATTTTAGCAAGGACTCCATCTTTCATGGTAGGTTCATATGTCCACCAGGAACAAAAGGCAATGAGAAAACTGTTTAACTGTTTGAAATGAAGTAAGATCAACGTATATAACTGAGCATAATTGATATAATTGATGAGCCTTTGTTATATTAAACTATGTCAAACAATGAAAGCACAGTAAACAACTATTTTCTTATTTCAGTACAAACATTACTTCCAACTGTAGCTGCAAGTTAATCATTTATGCAGGACTCAACCAAAACCAAAGCCTTTTACATACAGTAATAACACATTTTACTTCAGTTTGCAAAAGTTGACACGTGTTCATAAAGAAGGCGAGTTAGAGTGCTCCTCCATATTTCTGAACATGATTCACTGAAACGAGATCCATCTGGAAGGCTGAGGGAGCTCAGATGACCTTCGGCCTCTGAGGCAGACACAGATTATAATACGCAGTTTGATCCCAAAAGTCAGGTCCTTTCCAGCCACACCAGCCCTGGAAATATAACAGCCACACCAAGATCAGCACAGTGTGTGGGAACCTGCTTTTCAGACTGAGAATTGCTGGCGGTGTGAATGCTTTTCCGTTACCTTGTCTGTGATAACCTGCAAGTCCTCTGCTCCAGTGTAATGAGGATCTAGGATGAGGTAGCGGATCTGCCCTGTGGTCTCACTCCAAGCCACACCCAGGATAGTGTGAGCTAAAACGCCTCCTCCTGCAACACAGAGCAAACAGCAATGTAAGTTTGAACAAGCTTTGTCTATGTTAGCTATCAACAGTACAAGCTTCTGAAAATAGTCAGCTCCCTCCTTTTCCAAATCCATAATCAATAGAGTACAATTCATATTTTTGGGCCAATTAGTAAAATTCTTAAGATGACTGTATGCACAAATCCTGGAAATGATAGCAGGCTCTGGTTTTCTTTGAGTTTTTGTGGTGATGTGACTTTAAAAAAAAAAGTTTTAATGTTTATATGTGGTGTTTATAGTGAGTTTTATGTTGTCATGCACTGACAGCAAAGTTCATGACAAATTTCCACTACTTTGTAATGGAAATGAAGTTTATTGATTATAATGAACTCCCTTCTTTACCAAATCCAAAATCAATAAGCTGCCAATTAAAACAAAACAAACAAAAAAATCCTGGGAATGATAGTGGGCTTCTGCTTCTCTTCGGGTTTTTGCGGTGAGGTAACTTTTCTATATTTGGATAATGAATTATAAAAATAAGGCTTATCATAAAAAATATCAAGAAAACAAAGTTTCTGTGAGGTCATAAAATTAATGTAACTGTAACAGTTTGAAAGTGAGCTCACCAATCATGACTGGAGTTCCTTCAGTGAGGAAGTGGTTGGCCAGTTCTCGGCCTTTGGACGCCAGCTCAGCTCCCTGACTACAGAGAAGGCAGATTAGTTGTCAGATATATTAAAATCATCCACAAACACATAATCATTCACAAGAAATGCAATCCCACCTCACAAACAGGATCTTGGAAGTGAGCCCTAGCAAATGACTCAGAACAGCCTGAACCTCAATGGATCCAATCCACTGACGTGACCCGACGAAGGATGCCTGCTTGTCTCCAACATCCACTAAAGCCTGGAAAGCAGAGAACCAGACAGCTTGGACATGTCTGATAACATTGTAAAAAAAAGAGGAAATGTGGGTATATCTTGTACTCTGATCATATTTTATAGGGCAACTACCTGCTGGATCTCCTTGTGAGTGGGCACAGGCAGCTCTACGTAACCCTGCTGCTGGAACCAAGAGCAGATAGTCTGCAGGGAGCGATAAGCACAGCCCCAGCCATTGTCATCTACACGGTCCTGCATGTAGTGGTGATAGCTGTAGATCCCCTGGACCAAATACACCTTGAGAAAAGAAAAAAAAAATCTTGCTGTGTTCATCTATTTCTGCAAATGAGTAGAATACTGTTAAGGATTTAAAATAAGTAATTAGATATACCTTTCCATTATCTAGGGTAGGGTGCGTGAGAGCCAGATGAGGGTTTCGGAGATAACCGTCTTTGTAGGGCTCATTGGGAAAGTGGTAAGCGTTGGCTCTTCTGAAGTAAGGCCTGTCATCTGGTAGCTCAAACTGCTGATGCAGCTCCTATTCAGACAAAATAAAGTTTCAAGGAAAGGTCATTCATTCTTTTTGTCCTTTCTTTAAACAAGAAAGCACAAGTTGAACTCATTGGGATTAATATGTCTATGATGATAGAAGTTCAGTCTGCGGTTCTTACTTTACTTTCCCAAAAAGTTGATTCTGTTCATCTGGACGGAGCTCTACATCCAGATGAAGTGAATCAACTTCTTGGGATTTCCTTACCTGGATGATTGAGCACATGTTAAGACACTAACCTTACGTTGTGCTACTAGCTGGCTGTCAGGCACTCCTACTGGATAAACCACAGTCACCAGTCCTTTTGGTTCTGGAAGGAGGAAGTGGACCGGTTCAGGAACAAGTAATGTCATTCCCTTCATGTTCTGAAGAGTCACTTTCTCCATCTCACACAACTGATGAGTTAGTGCCTCAATTAGCTGCTCGCAGGCACTGCAATACCAGAATAAAAAAAACAAAAAGTAATATTACTGTAAGAGACGAGCTTTGGTTAGTGGTATGAAACCAGATGTTTTGTATAAAAGACATACTCCTTGATTGTATCGCTGCGGCCGGTGCAGACAACACAGTCTAGTGGAAGAGTCACACTCACAAAGTGGGATTTCAGAACTGTTTTGGTGAGGATGGGGGCTGAGAGGGGGCCTGGCTTTGTCACCTCCGTCATCAGA